TCAATAAATGCACAATTAGCTACGTTCGCATCAGTCTGACCAACTTATATACAATCATAATCTAGGCTTTCCCACACCTTATCTTGGCTACTAATTGCAATCAATTAACAGCCACTCGGCACACCTTTTAGCGTTAATCGAAACGCTGTGCGCTGTGACCTAGAGTCATTATTGCGCTGATATGTCATGAGCACACATAGACAGAGTCTTAGGCGGTGTCATCTGCACACAACACGATGTTTGGAGATTAGTCGATACGCCTTGAAGACTGAAGATGACAAAGAAAAGCCAAAGGGGGGAACACGAAGGCAGAGAAACATAAAAAGAAAAAAATTGACCAAGAAAAAAATGCAGATGACAGCAATAAATGAGGAGCACTTTGCAAACACGAACAGCGCAAATGTAAAGAAAACATGAAATCGCATTAATAGGAGTGTTTTATTTACCTGTTTATCCGTCAAACTGCTATCCAACAAAAATTTCACTGTCATTGCCACATCGACGCCTTTCTTCTCCAAGATACTCATGCCTTTCATATAGTACTCGATCTGAAAAAACTGTTATATGTGAGAATATAGAGCTGCATAAAAAAAGTAGCTTCATAAATCTTCTCAAAATTTGCTAAAACTGCCGGCAAGACTTAATGAACTCGGCCCAGTAGCGAAATAAGAATTCAAACACCTTTCTGCATCGAATTACCGAATTCTGATGATTCGCTTCATAAAGGGCAAGTACTTTCTTCTTCATTTTGGGAAGCATGAAATTTTCAAAGCTTATTAGTATGAAACCATCGAAGCTTGTTTGAATATGCTCCTTCTTCCTTGCGTAACTTCATTACAAAAAAAAGATATTTCCAACGAAAAAGATTCTCGGTCGGCGCTACAGAACATGGAATAAGAGTTGTAGGAAAGTAATCAAACAATTAAAAATAATTTGAAAAAACCCACATGTGGAAGCCTTTCCCTGGGTAGCCGATCCATTGCTACGCTTACAAGATTCTCTCGATAACCTTTGGTGAGAAGACGAACTCGCAAAGGTGAGTCATGGCGAGTGGAAGAGTTTGTAACATGATTGACCGGAGGTGGTACTGTAATTTGGAGATTGATGACAATCGGTATTGGTGAAAATGCGAGTAAAATACCCACCGGAATTCACTGGTTTACTAAAAGCAGCTCTGCCAATGGCACCCGTCGCACTGAGAGTGACAGCTGGCTCTTCAGATCGTGAACGCGAAAACTAGAATACGCGAAAATTATGGAAAAGCAAGACTCAAGAGAAAAAAAGAAGTTTAGCTTACTCCAAAATCCAAAACTGGATATGGTGGTATAGACGAAAGCGTAGCCGATTTGCCTCCATTTGTCAAAGAATGCAGAGGTTTCAAACTCCCCTCGGTGATGACAGGAAGGGAACTCACCGATGATGTTGATTCTGGACGAGAGTCCAGACTTACATTGCCCAAGATCTTAGATGAAACAAATTTGAGCCCAATATCACAAAATATTCCGAAACTCACTTGACTCAAGGCCTCCTTGTCATCGATAGTGCTCCACTCCAGCTCATCAAAAACCGTACCACGATTTTCGAATTCTTGAAAATTCAAATCTTTCATGGCGGATTGTTGCGGTTTTGGCTGAGGATTGGTTGCTGGAGGGGGTGCACATGGCTGAAGGACTTCCTGAAAAAATATTCTGTTCAGAACGCAATGCGGTAAAAAGAGGATAGCGTTACTTAATAATGCTTTGGGAGATCTCACTTTTGATGAGTTAAATATGGACGAAAATTCAAACTCATCAGGTAAACATGGAGATCTTGTATTCCATGAAATATATACAGAATAACCACACGCACTTAACTGAAATGCCTACCATCAAAACTAGTCTCACACCAAAATATCGAGAATTTTCGAGATCTTAGAACGCTGTGCGCGCTTTTCATCCTTTTTCCAACTTTCTGTCAAATCAAATTCCAAGGCAAAAAATTTAAGGTAAGAAAGAAGTGTATTTTGAAATGCTAGTTATGTAATAGTGAAAAACTCACATTGGTCAATGACGTAGAGGAAGAAGTTTGAGAAGTAGAAACAACACCATTTACATGAGTTCGGGGTGGAGGATCTGGCTTGGCTTCTGGAGGAGCATTCGCTTCGTCGTATTGCTGACGAGCGCGTTTCTCAGCAAGAAAAGCATACTGCAAACAAAAAAGTTATTTTAAAACACTATTTGAGCCTATGGAAATGAAGATAAGGACAGCTTTGACTAAGTATAGGTTTAAACTACCGGCCAAAAAGCTTAACGATATGAATTTTGCTGAACACTTACAACAGCTATTCGTAGAACCCTCATAAAATGATACCTATGTTTCAACAAGTATAAAATGTACTGTCTATAAGCATTTGGAGCGGTCTTTCCAGAACAATTGACAGTGTCTCCGTTCCCATTAAAACGAAACCAAAGCGTGCAGTTCATAGTAACTTGCCCACAAACAAGTTGACGGGCAACTCTCACCTGTTGATACTTCGAACCATTTTTTAGCAATGACAAATCATTTTTTTTTTCAAAATAATATCTTTCAGATATGGTATGGTTCACACAAGGCCTTTTGTTGATTATTATATAAAGAACCAAAAGTAAGGAGACATTAATGAAAAATAACAAATAGAAAGTGTACGATTATGAATCTGACCTGAACGTCTTTGAGTGGTTGAGGTAGGGGTAATGTTGGCAAGTTTATTGCAGGTGGTGGATAAAACCTTCGTCCAATCTCCATAGGAAGATCTCTAAGATAATCTGAAAGCATTTCAATAAAATTCATTATAACACCCAGGATTTGGGAATTTCGAACACATCCAAATAACATAAAGAGCAGAAGTATTTAATATCTATTCCTCGGTGCACCCGATGATTATATAAAAAAGACGTTCTAAATTGTTACAACCAAGCAAAAATCTTCCAAATAACAAAAAATAACTAGCACCTCGACCCAATATGTAACCATATCATCTTGAGATAGAACTGAGCCGTTATATGAGCTTCCAGTATCATCGCTACGTTTTTTACTGCTATACAAAAGCAGTAAACAGCCAAAACTATTTGAATCAAAAAGAAATCTGCCGAATAACAGAAGTAACAAGTACCACTTGAAAAGCGTCATAAATATCAAGTAAGTAAACAAACACTATTGACACAATATAACAAAGAAACTCACCTTGATATGTGTTCGAATAACTCATTCCACATCACCGACTGCTGCAAGATGAGAAACCGAAAGCATGTGTGATAATCGAGTTTGTTTCGGCAAATCGAGCGAAAACGTCGCACAAAACCTGAATGAGTCAGTTCGTGGGCTTATTTCGACACAAACCTTAAAACTGACGAATTACCTAGAGAAAATTTGTCAGCGGAGCGAAAACCGGGGTGAAATTGCGAGAAGTTTCTGGAATTTGTCGATGAATATGAAAGCCGAGGCTGTTACTGGTTCGAACGCGTGAGAAAAGTTCAGGAAAACAAAAAATCAAAAAATGTCTAGACGGATTGATTATAGGATGAAAGAGATGAAGAAGATAAGGTCCCGGAAAGAAACAGGAATGGAGAAACGAACTCGTCCTTGCCCGAGCTTTTTCGTTATTTACTTTTTTCTTCTTTTTTTTTGCAAAAATGAGTGAGGGTATAACCTACCGCTGTTTGCCATAAATCTG